CCATGGTCACAAGGCCAGTGATGGGAAATCCTTATCCTGGAAGAATAAAAGCAACAACCCTGTTCAAGAAAAAAAAAAGTTAACTCCCTCTCCAAGCTAGGGAGCATAATTTGCTGAAAAAAAGATAGAAGAGGAACAGATTTTGCATTAGCTTCCTTAAAAAGGCTACACACGAGGATTGAAGAATATTCTAAACCAGAAAGGCAGTCATGTTCAATCACGTAGGATGTTGGACCAAGCTTGCCTTGGCCATGTACAGTAAGTATTAGGTTTCCAGTGCTCTGAACAGCAAGTTACCTTGGTTGACTGTGGCGTTGAGAAGCTAAGCCAGGCAGGAACAAAGTCATGCTGCGCCATTTAGGTCCAGTGTCTCCCTTCAATAAAGTGAGGCATCAAACCTCATGGCCAGGATCTACAAGTGGAAAGAAGAACATTGACCCCCCCCCACAAATCTGTCAGACTTTCCCCGATTTGGAATAATTGCACGATAAAACCACCAATGGCCCTGGCAATGGTGAACAGAAGAAATGTGTCAGTATCCCTCTTTAAAGCAACTTTTACTAGAAAGCTGCCAACACCGTTTCCCCAGCCAGAATAATCAAGGCCCTTAAAACTTCCAATTATTTCCTGTTTACAGCATCAGCTAACAAGGCTCCCATAACACTCCTGAGGGGAAGGATAGGGAGGTAGAAAGGCTACTGAACAAATGCCAAGGAAACAAAACATGTGTTGTATAAACATGTATGCAAAACTGCACACATGCTAATTTATGGATCTGCTCCTCCTTGTACCAGGTTCAGCCCTGTATTCCTTGCAATTTGCTTTACCAAGTGAGTAAATATATTAAAACCACTGAGCTGCCCAAAAGTGCACTAGTTACATACAGATTAGTCCTGTAAGAGAAGTCAAATCTAACAACCCCCCTATTTTAAGACTGTCTTAAGGCCCCCAAAGCGCTAGACATCCCCCAACTACAGCATCTACCATGCTATCTCCATAGAGGGGGTTTAAAATGCCCAAGAACAGGATCCAAGCTGAAGAGAAGACAAAGCAACACCAATAATTGAACTGTCACCAACACTAGGGACCAGCTGACATGGAGCTGAGGATCTGAATACTCTGAAGCAAGGAAAAGTTACCTCTGTAATGATGCCTGGCACAACGCTTGCTGTGCATTACACTAACAGGCATCATTCCCCCGTTTCTTCTGAATTACATTTCATGGAGGTTCTCAAGGTTCCCTCACTTGCCTTTTGCTTCACACCCCTTAACCATCTGCATTACCCAAGTCCATTTGATAGGAAAGGGATGAGTGATCACTTACCCAAGAGTTTGGCCTCCGCAGCCCAATTCTCTTGTTTTTATCTGTCTTTCACTCTGGTCTTCAAGTTCCTTCCTTCTCCAGGATGCAGTTATGCCAATCTTGAAGCAACAGTGCGTCTCGAAGCAGCGCACGAGAAGCCGCACTGCGTGCTGACTGCACCATTCACCCCCTCAGCTACTCATCTTAATATGTGTCTACACTCACACTACGAAAAAAAAATACCTAAAAAGGTAATTTACATAAAAAAAGAGTCACGACCACGTTCACCTCATTAATTTCCTCTGGTTGTGGTGCTATGGAACTCGAGATTTTTACATTACAGAAGCGTGTGTGTCAGGTTTGCACAACAATATTTAGATCAACACCATGGTTAATACTGAGCAGATCCACCCAAGTCTGCTGAATTATTCATTGTTTGAAGCAGAGCAGTTAAAGCATGGGGGGGGGGGGGGG